GTCAATCTCTAAAGCCACAGGCCTCTGCTGTGTAAGCTAAAGCAGATCTCCTTTAGCTGGCAGATGTAATAGGGCCTTTATCTACCTCAGGGGCGGGCAAACTTTTTGGCCTGAGGGCCGCATCGGGTTTCATAAATTGTATGGAGGGCCGGTTAGGGGAGGGGGTTGTGGCCCGGTCCCCACCTCCTATCTGCCCCCCTGTGGCCCCTACCCCATCCAACCACCCCTTCTCCCTGTCCCCTGACTGCCCCCAGAACCCCTGCCCCTGACTGCCCCCCCCCATCCAATCCCTCCTCTCATTCCTGATGCCCACCGGCTTGAGCTGGGCCATGCCATTGCCACGCACAGCTCAGAGACTGGGTCAGACCTGGCTCTGCAGCTGCGCTGCCCCAGGAGCTCACAGCCGCACCGCGCCGCCCAGAGCATGGTGCTGGCGGAAGAGCAAGAGAGCTGAGGCTGTGGGGGAGGGGGACAGCAGGGGAGGGGATGGGGGCAGGACGGTCCCGTGGGCTGTAGTTTGCCCACCTCTGTACTAGAGGACACCATCACACATTTGCTGCTTTGTACACAGAGCCAGTACATTACACAGTGAGTGCCAGTGGTCATGGCAACGTCTGTGACTATATCTCCCTTGCTGAGCAGCATGTGAGCCGGGGGCTCCCTGTGTTTCTTCCTCCAATCTCTTGCAAACTAGGAGTGTTGCCCTTTGTTCCCCACAACGATCATACAACACGGCTTTCCCCTGTGCCTAAACACAAGGGCCAGCTACCCTGACACGAGCATGGAGAACTGGTGACCCCAGAGGGTGAGGGGCCGATGGGGAGCAGCAGGCTGACAGCACAGGAGAAAACCCGGTGTAATGTGGCTAAGGGGTGGGATGGCAGGGGGCCAGAGGAGGTATAGAGGGGAGATGCCCCATATCAGAGCAAGTACAAAGTGATGCTGGTGTGAGGAGGAGAAAACCCTGGAGGACGTAAGTAGGGCCTGGGCCTTTTGGAAACCCTTGCACGGGGAGGGGGAAGGTATCGATTGCCCACCCAGAGTACTGTTCCTGGAGTACTGTGGTGGAAGGATGCCAGCTCGGCCCAATCCCCTCTTTGCTCTTGCAGCCGATGCTCAGTGTAACCATGGCTGATGCCCGCGGGCAGTGCCCCTCTCAATTTCAGGAACTCTTTTCATCTTGCATCTCGTGTTTGCAGCACATGGTAGAGATGTCTCCCCAGCTGGGAAGCAGGGGCCTGATTCTGATCATACCCTGGTGTAAATCAGGAGTAACCCCACGGGGCCCCGTTCCTCTCTCACCCAGGTGTAAATCAGGAGTAACCCCACGGGGCCCCGTTCCTCTCTCACCCAGGTGTAAATCAGGAGTAACTCCATTTAGGTCAGGGGAGCTGCACTGGTGTCAAACTGGGGTGAGTAAGAGGAGACTC